GAGATGATAAGTGGTACATACTAAACTATACAAAAAATCAGAAGGCTGAAAAGCATGCTAGGAACGCAAAAGAGGACCGAACCATTCGTGAAGCCATTTGAACGCGAAGCTCATCAATTGCATAAGACAATATGGGAATGGAGAGAAGAGGGCAGTAAAAGAAAACAAGTGGAGAAGGAAAGCAGTGAAAGGAAACAAGTGGGAAAATATGTCAATGGGAGCAGCTTTTTAGATTTGAACCTTATGAGTGGAGAAGGAAGTACGAAGGCGGAAGGAAGGCAGTGAAAGGAAACAAGTGGGAAAATATGTCAGTGGGAACAGCTTTTTAGGTTTGAACCTTCCGAGTGGAGAAGGAACTAGGAAGGCAGAAGGTAGGCAGTGAAAGGAAAAAAGTGGGAAAATATGCAAGTGGGAACAGCTTTTTAGACTTTCATGCCCTGTTTGATTGAAAGGAATTCTGCCATAAAGATTTTCAAATGAGTGATTGAAAAATTATTGTATTATATTGTATAATTTAACATAATCCAGATTAAAAATTTAGAAGGCTATAACTTTTGCTAGTTTGGTGATAATATTATATTACATGAATTATACTATACCGCATAATTTAAATAATTAAGTATGAGATGAGTTCTTTAATGGAAGTATTAAAAATTATTCCTCCATCTAATAATTTTTGTTTCCCCAAAGCACTAACTGGGTCCGTGACTGCATTATTGGTCTTGAATATAATGAACCACCTCTCCTGTATAGCAATGACTGGGCCAGCAATTGGCCGCACTGCATTATTGGATTAGGGCAATAATTCATTACCTTTTTCCTGTATAACAATAATCTTGTCTTATTGCTTTTGCTTTTTTGTTTAATTTTTTTCCAAAAGATAAACTTGCCTTTTGCTTTTGGGATCCAAAATGCTAGTATTACCGTATTAGCCAAGTTTATATTTAATTTGATTGATATTTATAAATTTTTTTAACAAATAGTTATGTTTTTTAAAAATATTAATTAGTTTATAAATTAATTTTAATTTATTAAAAAATAATTATTAATTATTCTTAACAATCAAATCAAACAAAATTTACCTTTTTAACCAATTGTTGTGATTTTAACAAAAAAGCTTGTCATGTTCACACCCTAATGAAGGGGTAATTCTTGTTTTAAATAAAGTTTTTTAAGAATTTTTCTAACTTGTACATTTAAAATATAAATTAAAAATATTTTTTTATTATAGATATACATAAAAAATATAAAAATTAATATTAATTTTAATCTTAATTTTAATTTTAAATAAATTTAATTAAATAATTGATAAATTAAAGATTAAATTTTATTTTTTTAATATAAACTTATGATATAAAAATATATTTAATATATTTTTAACTTATTCTCTTAAGACATAAATTAGATAACCTCTTTTTTATCATATTTAATCTTATACATAGGGGATTTCTTTTTGGTAGCAATTGCTTGGAGTTTGTTTTTTCTCAATTCCTTTCATTTTGGTTGATTGTCTTCGTCTATTGAGCAGAATGCTCAAATTCACCTTTCAACTAAAACAATAGAGATAGATCTATTCTCACAGAAAAAAAAAAAAAGGAGTAGTAAATTGCTTTAATAAATAATTAACTTAGAATAATAATCCAAAATTTAACTGTATTACATCACGAATTACCTCATTCTTCTGGTTATATATATCTTAACTCTTCCGAGGGAAGGAGTAAATGGTTGGCCAACATCAAGCAGGGGAATTAAGATAAAGAGGGATCCTCGTTATCTTTTCAAGGAGTCACATGATAGTATTATCGTTACGCCATTATTTACGTTGCAAATTATAAATTTATTTGATAATATCAAATATCATATTATTTAAATAAATAATTATAATTAAATCACATCAAATTTAATACTATTGTAATGTAAAACATGACAATAATTCGCGGCCTTTTTCTTGTACAGCAATAACTGAGCCCGCAATTGGCCTTAGCGAATTACTACTTCTGCATTTGCTTTTTTTGTTTCATTTTTTCCGAAAGATAAAATTGCCTTTTGTTTTTGGGATCCAAAATGCTAGGATTATTTGGCTTCCTGTAAATTTGATTGATGTTTACTAAATTGTTAAACTATTTAATTATCAAACCTCTACAGTAAGAGTTATCGTCCTAATTATTTAATAGATTTATCTATCCAATATTTTAAGAACACAAAATAAAACTTAATTATTAAGTAATAATTATCATTTTTTCTTAAAAGTGTAAAATTTTCAATTAAAAAAATAAATTTTGATTTTAATTTC